CTACAGCGTCGAGATTGTCACAGCACCTCGTGTTCACCTTCACGGCTTCGAACTTTCAGAAGCTGGAATGGCGGCTGATGTCATGTGATGTGAAATCTGCCTTCCTCAAAGGTGATCCTTACATGGACGGCGCCCGTGAGCTTTTCATCGAGAACACCAAGGGTTTGCACGGTGAACCTCAACTTCCTTTTGGCGCCCGTGGCTTGGCGCGTGTGAAAAAGGGGGGTCTTTGGCTTGAGTGATGCACCAAGACAGTGGTACCTTCGCCTGCACCGAGCCCTGAGCGAGCTTGGTTGGGAGAGAAACTTCATGGATCCCGCTTGCTGGATGCTTTGGGACAACAAGCATGAGCAGTTGCTTGGTATTTGCCTCTCCCATGTGGACGACCTGCTGGTTGGTGGTTGCTCAGCAGCTCGTGAGAGCATCCTCTCCCTGGAGAAGACGTTGGGTTTTGGTTCAGTTGAACACAACTCCTTCAACTACTGCGGGAAGAAGATTTCCCAGGACTTGACCGCCGGCGTGATCACTGTCACCATGAAGGAGTACCATGAAAATGTGCGTCCAGCTGTGGTGCCGCTTCATCGTCGAAGCGATCCCAATGAGCCCTTGACTGGGGCTGAGCAAAAGCAACTTCGTGCTTTGCTGGGTTCACTACAGTGGATGGTGGCGCAAGTAAGAGTTGATCAAGCCTTCGCCCTCAGCACTCTCCAAGGAGAACAGCCTCAGACGATCGGCACACTCCTGCGCAGCAATCAGCTCCTGAAGCAGATGAAGCTGACTTCTGGTTTTGGCTTGACCTTCAGGCCTATGGATCTGGAAGATGCTGGAGTGATCGTGGTGACAGACTCGTCGCTTGGCAATGTTTCAAAGAAGGCTCAAACCTTGGCCCCGTGGAGAAGAAGGTCTTTAGCCAGTCCTCCTACCTCGTCCTGCTCGGAGACAAGCGTCTCATGGAGGGTGAAGAGGGCAACTTCTGCCTTCTCGATGGCCGCAGCCATCGGTTGCCACGTGTTTGCCGCAGCACCGAGGAGGCCTTTGACTGTGGGCAGTTTGTGAGAGGAGTGGTTGCTTCCTTTCGTGGCCTGCCGATGGAAAATCGGTATGCTGAGAGCGTCATGGACGTGATCCGCATGATGGTGGTGGTCGACGCCAAGGACGTCTTCGACAAGTGCTCCTCGGATTCCACCTATGGGAGTCAGAAGAGTCTGGCCTTTGCAGTTGCTTGGATGCGCTCCATCCTTCGCCGGCCAGGCACCTCACTGAAGTGGACGGCAACTGAGAACGTGATCGCCGATGGAGGCACCAAGGTCATGGACATGCACCACCTCCGAACCACGCTCGATCGAGGAAGATGGTCAGTGAAGTTCAACACTGATTTCATCAAGGGCAAGAGCAAGGTCGCAAAGAAGAAGGCCGAGCCCTGTGTTGAGCTGCCCGGTGAGCCAATGTGTGAGAGTCACCCTGTTTTTCCATATGTCCACCAGCTGGCAGACAGGCCCGGCTGGCACTTTGAAGATGATTTGATTGTACAGGTTGCTCGTCATGCCCGTTCATTTAGATCGCCTAAGCCCAGGGTTGATGTGAAGCTTTTTCCGCTTCGGAGCACGTTCGGTCGATTTGACCTCAAGAGTGGAGCCTCTGAGTGGAGGACCTTGGAAGAGGCGGTTGAACTCGAAAGCATGAGCAACTGGCAGTCCGCCCTTGGAACGACAGCAGCTGTCCTGTGCACGGTCTTCATGAAGCTACCCATCCACAATCCGAAAAGAAAGGAAGATTCGCTGTTGAACCGTGCGCCGGATTGGGATGACGTTTGACCGTTTGTCGTCCGCTGCTGTCGGGGGCCCGAGATCTTGACCCGTTTTGGCTTTCGCCTTTTGGTCCGGAAAAGGCCGCTCCTTTTGCTTTGTGCCGGCACGCGCCGTCACTTCAATATTAATCATCTCAAGGAATCAAATGTCGCCTTACTGCACATGAGTTGGCAATTGGGGATGCCTTTGAAGCACTGAAAGGCAGCTAGTTAGTGGGCCATAGTCAACAGTAAGCCAGCTTGGCTCCGTCCAAGTACACGAAGAATCATGACGCTGGTGGCAGAGATGTGTCAAAACATCAAGCCCACCTGTTGCCCTGGAAAATTTCATGTCCACATTGGCGAATCGGTTGGTTATGTCCAACATGTTCCCAAAACTGTCTTTGTTTGGAAGCCTCAGGAGATGGTCCGAAGGTTGCAGTCTGCAGCAACGCTGGCAATCCACTTGCGAGCGGCAGAGCCAGATTGGTCAGTGACATGACGCATATGGCCAGCAGGGAAATGTTTTTTCTGAAAGTTTCTGAGAAGCTGAATGAAGTTACCTGGTGACCTGTCATGGATGATTGTGTCCCCACTTGATCCGGGCTGCTATGTCATTTACAATTAAGTAGGGGGCAACTAGTGCAGGTTGCCAAAGGCAGGCTAGGGTGGCAGCCCTCCAAGCATGGTCAGTTTATGCTGGATTTGCCAAGGAGTGCATGGACTCCGTCGTGTCTGCATCATATCCAGCTCCCATGGCGGATCCGACGGAGTTTTTCCCGTCGGATCGGACTGGCGAGAAGCTCACGCTGACATGTATCCCGTGTCACGGCCAATCCTGGTGCCCATTTCAGGCGAAAGATGAGGCCTTTAGGTCATGAAGTTCAAGGTCCCGAAGCCCTAAGTGGTGTCTTCATGATAGAATCATTCTTGTGGACGGAGTAGTTGGACCACGGTGCATAGACGACCGTGGTGTTTCGTGCATTTAGCTTTGTTGTGTGCTGTGGCTGTTTACAGTAAAGTTTTGGAATTTTCTTCAGGGCCACAGGGGCGTTAATGCTTCCAAACTGTCAATTCTATACATGTTCAAGTTTTTAAGTTGTTGTTTATGAATTTTAGATGCAGGCGTCACGTCACACTCATTCGTAGTTACACACTTTCTCAGGTGGGAGGGGCGGGTTGCAATTTGCATTATCACCAGTGTGAAGATGAAACAACATGAAACAACCGTTAGTCCACACTCCATACTGGACACTCGAGCACGGCCCACGGCAATGTTTGCAGAGTCATAGCTCGCAGCTTTCTTGTTGCTATTTTTGTTTTGTCGTTTTTGTCATTTCCTTGTCCTTGGGTTATACGTTAGATCAGTACATCGCCAGTTTGTCTTGGGACCACCGTGACGACTGCCTTGTTCGTCATCGAATTTTCTTTGCAACACGAACGTTCTTGGGACATTGTCGCAAACCTTGCCATTGTTCTTGCATTTGAGTGGCTCGCCGGCAGTCGGTACGGTCACCTGAGTCACCTGTCTGAAGAACTCGGCATCGCTTTTGCGGTGAGAAAAAACCGATACAGAGCTTGCAAGTAGCCATCGAGCTTCCACACCCGTCTACTTCTGAAACAAAGCAGTTGCGGGGCAGCTGATAAACATGCAAAATGCACTTCTCAGTGCAGCGAAACTCTAATTTATATCTCCCCAGTCAGGTTGAGACCTCAATGACAACAAATTCAAGACTCAAGAAAGCATCAGAACCCAGTCAGGCTAAAGGTGTAAAACGTTTCGATCTACAAATCATGACAAAGCCCCACGGCTGTCTACGCACCGTGGACCTAGTTCTGACGGCCCAAAGAGGCCCACGGATTGCGGATCTCACTTAAGGCCATGCGAGGAGCCGCGTGTGGGCGACCTTTTGATCAGTCATCCGGTGTGGAGCGTGCTCCAAACAACGCTTGACAACTCTGTCATCCTCATTGTGGCTGCCGACAGCTTGAGGGGTGTCACTGGAATTCTGTTGAACAAATCTGATGAATCTTGGCCACTCAACGAAGTTTTGTGCTCATGGATGCCCCCATCGTTCTTCGCAAATGCCATGCTTTATGTGGTTGTGAATGAATGGCATGGGGGACGACTGCAGGCCAAACAAATCCACAGGCCATAGGTTGATCCATCGCGGCCAAGGATCAAACATTGGAATCGTTCCTCACAGCTTGTGGTGAGGAGCGCTTTGTTCTTTAGGGTGTTGAAAGCATGGATAGTGTTTGCATTTAGTCCCCCATGTCTTGAGAGACAAAAAAACAGAATTGTTTTGACGCAGCTGCACCTCAGAAGTCGAGACATGACTAGGACCTCTCGAACATTGATCGCAAGTTTCTGCGAAAACGTGTTGCCAATGGCGGCCCAGTCGAAGAAGGCACCGAGCTCGACAGATCCCTGGTAAAAAGAGGTCAAACATGTGCAGAAGTGTGCATGTTGGTGTGTGTGTGTGTGAGAGAACTCCAGTCTCTAAGGAACTCGACCACACTAAGGAATGCAACGATTTATTTCGATTGACTGTTCTTTTCATCATTGTACAGTGCAGGGGGCTGGAGCCAGGTGGGGGGTCTCCGGCCAACGAAGAGACCCCCCACCTGGGTGTAAACGTACCTGCGCGTTGTTCCTTCAATTTTTAGTTTTTGATTAAGTGATGTAAGCAATATTGTTTCGGACCTATTCACCTTTGTGCTCCTGCGGTAAAGGTCTAACGCGTTTGTTGTAGACAAGTGAGCCGACCCTTCACCTTGCTGTTCCTGAGAGTCAAGGTCTAATGTAATCAGTCACTAGCTCTCAGGGATATCGCAACTGATACTGCTCTTGCGAGCCTTTATCTAAGCGTGTTTCGCCACAGGGTCCCACTGAGGGCTGTGGTGTGATCCCCATCGAGGGGCGCGTTTTGCACATACCCTTAAGGGGGATCCTTCACTGAACTTCCGTTTTGCATCGAAACTCACTGATCCAGCCGCTTGCTCGAGAATGCTGATCGAATGCCGCAGGGCTTACTGAGTACCACCACAGAGTGACATACCATGCTGCTAAGTATTCCTAGGCCGTAGGACACGCATGCAGCTAGGTAATCACTTCGGACATGTCTTGTTTTTCTTCTAATGCTCTTCGTTTTCTAGGTCTTTCTTCTTTGCTAAAGGCGTTTTTAAGTGTAACGTAACGAAGGCTTACTGAGATCTTCCCCCCCAGAGAATGACATGTCACGCTGCTAAGTATTCATAGGCACTCGGCTAAGCAGCCACCTTTCGACTCAGGATTCTTCGCCGTAGGAGTTCTAATGTGTAATCCAAACTGCACAATTCATGCAGGGTCTTGCTTTCTCTCCGTCCTGGGTCTCAACAAGCCGCTTCTCCTCAACAATCTCAACCTAGCAATTGCAACAATCGCAGACAGTTTGCTCAATTTGATATTCTGTTCTTCCGACCAGTGAGCTAAGAGCGCCTCCTTCGAGCCGGGGGCATGTCAGTTTGACCGCTGTTACTCTGGTTCGGTTGGATATAACTCACCACTTTGCGTGGGTTGGCGTGGCATTGTCCTAACAGCTACTGCCGCGGCCAGTTAATTAAGATTGCGTGTGCTTCACTTCCATGCTCACCAAGCCACCAAGCCTTCCACCACGCACGCAAGCCAGCAAACAAGCAAGCACCTCCGGCTTTACGTCAGCCGCTTCTCTCCAACAATCTCAAATTAGCAATTACAACAATCGCAGACACCTTTTTTCCACTCATTACGAAAGCCAGCCTTCGTAGAAGGCGCCAGCGGAGTTGTGTTTGGCGAACGAAGTGAGTAGTTAGGGGGTCTGGGGGGGTGGCCCGCAAAAGGTACACGTAAACTCGGCACATGCTGGGGGAGGAGGGTGCGTCGAGGAAGGTTTTTTTGAGGTTGTGTTGGAGGTGATTTTTGAGGGGTGGTGATGCAAGAAATGCAATTTGCATCATTTGCATCATCTGAATGGAAAGGTGTAGTTGGCACCTTGCCAGGTATAGAGACCCAGGGTAGCTATAGTGCAGCTACCAGGTATAGTACTTCAAGTTCCCTTTCCGTCAACCGCTCGAAAACCTCTACACACGCACAGCAACCCACAGCTTTGAAGCCTCATGCGCGCGATACCTGGGAACAGAATTGTAGCTACCGTGGGCCCGTATGAATGCTATGTTGCTATACCTCTTACACACCTATACCAGTTCAAAGCACGAATGAGACTTCATAGCTGTGGTTTGCTGTGCATGTGTGGCTCGAGAAAGATATACGTAAACGCTGGAAGGTGATGCTTTGATGCTTTTGGAGCGGGGTGGTGACGCACTCGCCAACGAGAACATATACCCTTCAATAGGAACTCGAACAGCCCAAATCCAGAAGATTCTGAAAATGGCCTGGCTCCCTATATGAACCCTGGGAAGACTGGGAAGAGAGGAGGTGGAAAGTCCTTTGCTCTCGCTTCGCAGACCTTCATTTTCAAGGTGGCCTGAACAGAGTGTTTTAGGGCAGCAAACCCTGGTCTCAGGCCACCTTGAATTTAGCTTGAAAAACTGTCTGTTTTAACAAAAGCCTTGTCACAAAGGCACCCTTGCTTCGCATATCTTCATTTTTGAGGTGGCCTGAACATATAGTTTCAGGCAGCGAGCCTCTGGTCCCAGGCCACCTCGAATTTGTTTGGTGCATTGTTTGGCTTTTGCTTCATCTGAATGTGGATGGAAATTATCTATGTGTGAAGTCGGTCGGGGGTCGGGGGGGGTGGCCCGAGAAAGGTATACGTAAACTCTTGGAGAAAGATATACGTAAACTCTGGGGGGTGATGCTTTGATGCTTTTGGAGCGGGTGGTGACGCACTCGCCAACGAGAACATATACCCTTCAATAGGAACTCGAACAGCTCAAATCCAGAAGATTCTGAAAATGGCCTGGCTCCCTATGAACCCTGGGAAGACTGGGAAGCGAAGAGGTGGAAACAGCTGGGAGGTCTTGAACTTTTAAGTAAACAAAAGGCCAAATTCAAGCAGCAGAAGGACAATGTGCATCCTTTGCTCTCGCTTCGCAGACCTTCATTTTTAAGGTAAGCAAACCCTGGTCTCAGGCCACCTTGAATTTAGCTTGAAAAATTGTCTGTTTTAACAAAAGCCTTGTCACAGAGACACCTCAGGACCTTTGCTTCGCATATCTTCATTTCTGAGGTGGCCTGAACATATAGTTTCGGGCAGCGAGCCTCTGGTCCCAGGCCACCTCGAATTGTGGCTATACCTCTTACACACCTATACCAGTTCAAAGCACGAATGAGACTTCATAGCTGTGGTTTGCTGTGCATGTGTGGCTCGAAAAAGATATACGTAAACTCTTGGAGGTGATGTTTTAGTGACTTTGGAGCGGGTGGTGATGCAAGAGTGCATTTTTTGCTTTTGCATGGTTACCTATGTGTGGGCAGAACAAGACATGAAGCAGACTTGACACGCGGCCGCCAGCGGCTGCGCGAGCTCATTTGATTGCTTCGACGCGCAGTTGTCGAGAAAGGGAAGCGCTGGCTTTCGTTTTGCAGCTTCTCAGGTTGTCTGAGATTCTGATCTCTCGACAGTGAGCTAAGAGTGCCTCCTTCGAGCCGGGGACACCGCTGTTACTCCGGTCCGGTTGAGTCCACCATTTTGCGTAGATTGGCGTAACACTGTTCTGCCACTCCGCCTGCCAGCTACTTCCGCGGCCAGTTAATTAAGATTGCATGCGCTCCACTTCCAGCTCTGTCACGACTCAGCAAGCCAGCAAGCCTGCCACCACAGTGACAAGCCAGCAAACGCGCAAGCGCCTCCCATCATGTCAGCGGCATCTCCTCACCAATCTCAACCTAGCACTTACAACCATCCCAGACACTTGTCTCATTTCGATATTCTGTTCTTCTCTTCCAGGCAGGGAGCTAAGAGCGCCTCCTTCGGGGAAATGTCAGTTTGACCGCTGCTACTCTGGTTCGGTTGGATATAAATCACCATTTGGCTTTGATTGGCGCTGTCCTGACATCTACTTCCGCGGCCAGTTAATTAAGATTGCATGCGCTTCACTTCCAGCTCTGTCACGACTCAGCAAGCCAGCAAAAACCTTCCACCACGCATGCCAGCCAGCCAACGCGCAAGCGCCTCCGGCGTCACTTCAGCCGCTTCTCTCCAACAATCTCAACCTAGCCATTACAACCATCGCAGAGACTCTTTTCATTTTGGTGTTCTGTTCTTTTCACTTTGATATTCTGTTTTTCCAACCAGTGAGCTGAGAGTGCCTCCTTCGAGCCTGGGACATGTCAGTTTGACTGCTGTTGCTCCGGTTCGGTTGAGCCCACCATTTTGCAAGGATTGGCGTAACACTGTTCTGCCACTCCGCCTGACAGCTACTTCCGCGGCCAATTAATTAAGATTACATGCGCTCCACTTCCAGCTTTGTCACGACTCAGCAAGCCAGCAAGCCTTCCACCACACTGACAAGCCAGCAAACGCGCAAGCGCCTCCGCATCACTTCACCCGCTTTTCCTCACCAATCTCAACCTAGCACTTACAACAATCGCAGACACTTGTCTAATTTCGATATTCTGTTCTTGTCTTCCAGGCAGGGAGCTAAGAGTGCCTCCTTCGGGGACATGTCAGTTTTGTTTGACCGCTGTTACTCCGGTTCGGCTGGAAGAAACACCATTTGGCGTGGATTGGTGCTACTTCTGCGGCCAGTTACAAAAGTTTGCATGTGCCTCACTTCCAGCTCACGACTCAGCAAGCCAGCAAAAACCTTCCACCACGCACGCCAGCCAGCAAACGCGCAAGCACCTCCGGCGTCACTTCAGCCGCTTCTCTCCAACAATCTCAGCCTAGCCATTACAACCATCGCAGACACCTTTTTCATTTATCATTTATATTTTTCATTTTTCTTTTTTATTTTCAGTTCTTCCAACCAGTGGGCTAAGAGTGCCTCCTTCAAGCCGGGGACATGTCCGTTTGACCGCTGTTACTCCGTTTTGGTGGAGTCCATGATTTTGCGTAGACTGGCGTAGCACTGTGCTGCCACTCCGCCTGACAGCTACTTCCGCGGCATGTGCCCCTTCCAGCTCTGTCACGACTCAGCAAGCCAGCAAGCCTTCCACCACACTGACGAGCAGCAAACGCGCAAGCATCTCCCATCACGTCAGCGGCTTCTCCTCGCCAATCTCAACCTGGCACATACAACAATCGCAGACACTTTTTCATTTGATATTCTGTTCTTGTCTTCCAACCAGTGAGATAAGAGTGCCTCCTTCGAGCACATGTCAGTTTGACCCCTGTTACTCCGGTTCGGGTTGGATATAAACCACCATTTCGCGTGGATTGGCGTGGCCCTGTCATGACAAGTGCTTCCGCGGCCAATTACTTAAGACTGCCTGCGCACCTCA